CGCAGCTGCCCAGCGTGGCAGGAATGCGCGTCGGCGGCATCGCGAAACGCACCGCCAGCCGTGTCTGCTCCACGCTACCCGTCGCCTCGGCTTCCTCCTCCTGCTCTTCTTGCACTGCCGCCGCCGCCGCCCGCTTCGGCGTCACACGCTCGAGGCTGACGAGCATCTCTCCTTCCTCCTGCATTGCGAGGAGAAGCTGCACCACGGCGAAGGTTTCAGCTTCCGCACTGACGTCTCCCTCCACGATGGCAATGGAGTGGGCGCGGAAGTCACTCACAATGGTGGAGAGGTACACCCGACTTGCCACCCTTGCTGTGTCGCGAATGATGTGACGCCCGAGTCGAGCACCGGCCTCGGCGACAAGCGCCGTCATTTCGTCCTGCTGCCACAAGGACGCAAAGTGCTTTTCGAGTGTGTCCCACGACTTGCCGTCTCGCTTCGCCGCTGCTGCGAGGAGGCGTAGGTACACATCGGTGTCACTTCCGCGGAACTGCTGTATGATCTGCTGCACCCTCTTGCGGTCCACGGGGTCAGAGAAATCGCCGTGTCTAATGATGGATACAAGAATGAGGGCCTTCGTCGCCGTCACCAGTACGTGGCCACCTCCATGCCCACCCAGCACCGGTGCTGCTGCCGCTGCTCCTTCTCCTCCTGCTCTTGGTGCTGCTCGTCTCACAAGTGACAGGGCAGAGCGAAGCCAGACTGTAGCATCGTCCCAGCAGCGCATTCTGGCAAGAAGGAGGCCGCCTTCGCAGTAGTAGCTGTGAAAGCTCAAAAGGTCCGCCCCAGTGTCTGCTGGCGATACCTCCAGCACCGGTTGCCGCATGATGGCGAGCGCAGGCGCCGGGCAAAAGCTGCGCGACGCCTCGCGCACCAACAGCGCGTGGGCCACAGTAAGGTAGTCCGGCGACGGCGCAAAGCACACGGCAGCACGATGCAGATAATGCAACTTGCGTCGGTAGTTCCCTGCATCACGCACGTCAAGAAGTGCAACATAGCCCTCAAGCAACTGCCCGAAGCGCCGCAGGGCGTGTTTGTGACCGCGAAGCTGGTCGTACACACTGGAGCCGGGTGACAGCAAGTGGCGCTCCACCACGTCTAACAAAAGAGCGGCATTGTCCTCCTCCGCGGCGCGACCACTCATGACGATGGCTACTGCGAGGTAGGTCATGCCCATTGCAAAGCCGTGCACCGACGTGGTGCCTCCGGTGGTGCTCGCACATGGCGCAATTCCACCAGCCGCAGCAGAAGCAGAAGCAGCATCAGCGGTACGAACACCAGCAGTCTGTCGCTCTATCCCCACTATCTTCAACAATGACGCCTTGAGGTGACGGTAAAGCGCGATAAGTTCGGTCATGTGCTGCTCTAAAGAGGTCTCAAGATCGGCGAGGTCCTGCGTGCTTGGTGAAGCCGCAGTGATGCTGGCAAGGAGCCCTGATAGCATTTGCGTGTTCTCTTTCCTTGACATCTGCTATACAACGATACGATACCCAAACAAATAAACTAATTTGGTGGAAAGACGACGCAACAAATAACACCAGACATGGAAGACTGGATGAGCTACGGCCAACAGAGCACAATGCGGGAGCAGCAGTTCCCACTGCAGCGGAAATGCCACGCATATCTCCATCTATGGGACTCTGTGCGTGTAAGTGCCGGAAGAGGTCTCCCCCTGTACACCCCTCGTTTCACAAACACACACACACACACACACAATCTCTTCCTTTCTCTCGCTGCGTCCAGCGAGTGAGAAAGAGAGAAGCGTTAGCACTCCACGTCAGGTTTAGAAAACCGATTGCAACGAGGACTCTCAGTAAACCATGAGCAACGCGACCAGAACACGCTCCAGGTGTCTGGTGTATTGTAGTTACTCCACAACATTAACCGTGAATACACGGGAGTTCGTTTCGATGAATCGGTGGTCGAAGGTCGATGACTCTGCACGAACACACCAGCGCCCCGGAGGAAGGAAGAAGGGATGCCGGTACGGGTACCATTGTGCAGAGCTCATGTTGTCAATGGTGTACTGCAGCACTTCTGCTGTCTTCCGAATCAACGGCAGTGCGCCATCCTGAGTGCCGCTGCTTCTGCTGTTGTTGAGCAGCCACGCCGCACGCTCACGGGGCTCTACAGCGACGTGTTCCCCATTTGGCAGTGTCACAGTGCGCTGCACGCCACCCGCCATCGCATCTTCTACGACGGCGGTCGCGTGTTCGTCGAGCACGGTGCCCTCGCTCTCCACAACGTAGTGCACCGCTAAGATGCTTACCTGCGTCGTGGAGCTAATGTGCCGGCGCCGCGGCAATATGAGGGGCGCCGGCACATTCCCGCCACTGGACATAGGGCGAACGGCGCCCACATGCCTCACGCGCTTTGAGGAGAGTCGATCGGCGTCGCGTCTGTAGTTCACTTCGATTTCATCGGAGGCGTTACGCGCATTCCCCACCGACGGCGCCCACTGCTCAGACCCAGGCATGGCAGGGGACTTAAGGACCTGCTCATGCCTAGTCAGGAGCAGCGGCTGCTCTATTGTCCGGCGCAAACGGCCGTGAAGCTCTGCGTCGGGGCGCACCAGTCGGTCGAGATCCACCTCAACGCAACACCCTGCCTCGTTTGTATACACGAGCGATATTGTTTCGGGGTCTTGCAGCCCACATAGCGTAGCCAGCACTGACTGGAGCGACACGCCGTCTGTGATGGACATCGCATGGATATCAACAGAGCGCAGGGTATTGGACATGTCAACGAAGTGCAGCACGTGTCCATCCGTTAATGCTGCGGAGTTGGCCAGGCTATCTGCCAGCCGTTTGCGGCCCAAGCGACCCCACCTCACAATGAGAAATACAAGCAGCGCAGCCACGGCAACAAACACCACGCACATCGCCACCAGTACCCCAATTTGCGCACTTTTCATCGTTGTTCTTCCTGTGTGCGTCCTGCTATAAACAGCCCCTTTAATTCTATGTTTATATATGTATGTATATGCGCCTAAGCCACACGAAAGGCTTGAATCCACAAGAGGAAGTGCAGGGCCAATAGAAGGGCAGGTGAGGAGAATTCGAACATGCACGCGTGGAAAGAAAAAAAGAACATGGAAAAAAAGCCACCTTTTACTTTACAGTGGGAACGTGAACAACCCCCCCCCCCNCCCCCCCCCCCAAAGTCTCACGATGACGGTAATGAGAGCCATATAACAGGAATAAAAAAACACTCGCTTTGTTCCTTCACCAATATCCCTCGATAAACATTAGAAGTTGCAGCAAGAACGGACGCCATCAAAGGTCTCTTGCGTCAATTAACTTTTTCCCACGGGATTCTATTATTTTTTCCACTGTTGGTTTTGCAGTTGACGCCGTGACCACAGTGTATCCCTCTTGCTTCGCCACCACCGGCACGAAGCTGCCACCATCCTCAGCTTCAGAATTGCTTGCGCTATCAATAACGATATTCCGCTCACCACGTGCCTGTGTCGCTGCAGCGGCTGGTATAATCACACCCCGTTTCACCTCGATTTCACTGCACGCCCCGGCAGTCAGCTCTACAGGGACGCTGCTGCGTGTAGCGGGTACGCCAGCGCCTGCATCCGCGCGCAGGGCACTGATGGCGCCGCGGATGAACGCCATGTCTCGCGCTGCCTCCGCACTGCGCCGCACGTGCTCTGCGTCCCAGACGCCCAACTCCATCAGCGTCGGGCTGCTGTCGTAGCAGCCGACCTCCACATTCTCGAACCACTCCGTGCAGATGTCATCGCCATCGCAGGGGGGCTGATCGATCTGTATCTCCTCCCTTTGGTCTTCAGCCTCAGCGGCCTTCTTGCCGTTTCCTGCCCTTGCGGCTCTGCGTGTCTCAAAACTGGCACTGCGCGTCCGCTCTGTCGCAACAGCAGACCCTTTTCTTCCCCTGCGGCTCTTCGAGGCCACACTTTTCTCACCATGAAGCTGCTGTTGCTGCCGCCGCAACGGGTGCGGCGAGTGCTCATGAGAGAAGACATGCGGGTCAGGGAGAAGGTGTCTGCTGCTTGTCGACGGCATACTTATTTCTCTCTCTCTCTGTGTGTGTGTGTGTGTCTCGTCGAGATTGACCCGGCCCCTGCGATACTTATGCACAGGTGCACACATGCGGGAAGCGAGAAAGGCAGCAGTTTCCCGCCTCACAATGTGAGGAGTGTATGCGTCTGCACGCTGTCGTGTCAGAGAAGAAAAACCTCGGAAAACAGCACACAGAGTACAACGCCCGTTCAATGTTAGAATGGAAGCCAGAATACAAATATAACGGAGAGGCGTCAAGCGGAATTCGCTTGTATGCGAAGTCAGTTTTCACGCAAGTGGATTTAATTCTACAGGTGTTGAAATAGAAAAAAAAAAGGTATAGGCGCCATCCATTTTCCACTTCTGTGCCATTAAACCACAGCATTGTTGTTCTTCCCTTTTATGTAGCGCAGATAGGATCGCAGCTTCGCTTCGTCCATTGCACGGAGGCCAAAGGGCTCCTCTTCACCACGCTGATGGAGGACCTTCGTGATCTCCGTGATCAACAGCACCTTCTCATCTGAGTTGCCACGATTGGCGTTCATTCCGAGTTGCTCCTGTTGCCGACGGCGCATGGCGGCCTCAAGGACAGGGTTCGTCCCTGGCTGCGTCTGCGCTTGTGCCGTTTGTGTCGGCGCCGTCTCTGGCTGCATCGCACCACTGATGCTAGTTTGTTTCGGGCTATTTTCTTCCGGCTGCTGCTGATGCTCCCGCTGATTTGGCGGTGTTGCTGCTCCTGGCGCGTCGCGCCTCTGCGGCTTGCCGCGCTGCTGCGCCGCCTTCATACGCTCCTCGGCGGCCCGCACACATCTCTCGCGCCCATCGTCCCCACTTGCGATGGCTGCTCCACTCTGCTGCTGCTTGTGTAGTGTACCGGCGGATCCACATGACTTGCACCTGCGTTCGCCGTTGCATTTGGGCGCGCAAGCCTCGCAAAAGTTCCTTTTGCACGTGCCACACACATGCCTCCAGAGCAGGAGGCCGAAGGAGCGCTTGCACAGCGGACACGCTGACCCAGAGGTCATCCACTGCGGCGCCTGAAAAACGGAGGTCTCAAGAGCTTGTGCAGGGGAAGCCCCAACACGCGAACAAGAAAAAAAAAGGGAAAGAGATGATATTCATTCAGGAGAACACAAAAAACAACAACAAACGGCATGGAGGGGTACAAATCATCCAACAACAAAACACCTCCCCCCCTCCACCCACACACAGAGATACACACAAAGAGAAATATCAACAAAGCGTCATACTTCTTGACACCAAACACACAGCAACGCAAGCCAAGCATTTCTTTACATCCGCACAGAGCTGCACAAACGCCGCGCCCACCGGAAGCCCGAGATAAATCATCAGTAATCCGACTTCCGCGCCGCCTCCAGAACGGAGGTGAACGTCGCGAGGTCTACTGCTGCGGTTGGTACTCCTGTCACTAGCGTGTCAAACATCTCATCCACCTCCTGGTCAGTCAAACGCTCTTCCATTTCTGCCGCAGCATTCTTAAGACTCTCCTTTGTTATAAACCCTGGATAGTTCTTGTCTTCTAGCAAGTGAAACGTAAAGAGCAACTCCTGCTCATAAGTCCGCCTATTCAACGTCTTCAGCACCACTGCCACGAACAGCGTGGAGTCCACAGCATCCTGCTCGGTGCTTGCCTCCTGCGCCTTGGCACCATCCACGGGTTTTTCAGTTAAAACCTCTCCGCCATCCTGCACTTTCTTTGCACTCGCCTCCTCTGCCAGGTCCTCCTGTGCGGCTTGGATGAGCAGGCGAAGATCAACGCGTGACAACCGAATACCCGTAATAGTGTGGAGCGCACGTGTCAGCTCCTGCATCGAAATACTACCGGAGCCGTCCTCATCAAAGACTTGGAAAACGTCAAGAATGTCCTCCTTTAGGGCATCAAGAGCCGTCATTGCACACAGACAAAACAAATACCTACGCTGCACAACCAAAGCAACAAAAAAGAAAAACAAAAAGCAAGTACATAAAATGATACCCACAAAAACAACAACAAAAAAGCACAACAATCACACGGGAAAAGTACCAATTGGGCTGCATTCCAAGACGCCAGAGAGCATTGCGTTGTCAGTGCCGTAAAAATAACATGCATCAGGGTTCAGACTCGTCTTCCAATATAGTAACATAGCAGTGTCATCACGGTGGGTATTGTGATGAAGAAGAAGTCTACTTCTTAACATGGAAAGCAATGAGAGGTTTGTGGAGCGGGAACAGCGTGTACATTGAAGAGTGGAACAGCGCGTTTGGAATTCATAGCAGGTTCAGTGAGAACGCAAGAGAGGCATGCTGAAATCATATTTGGGGTGACACGATATCAGTTTTGTTTAGTTTGAACAACCTATATATATATATATATATATATATATATGCGTTAAAAAACCGCTTGCTCTTGATTCTGTTGCAGCTGGAGGGCAGAGCGAGATAAACTCCCGCCACTCAAAGCATTTCAACAAGAGTTTTCACTAGCATGGCGTCATGGTGTCTGCGAGAGGCTTTCTTCTGTCGAAGTGCATGGCGCTCGCCGGGGTAAGCTAGTATGCTAAAGGGTTTGCCTGCATCCACCATTGCATTGATGATGGCGCACGTGTGGGAGAAGTGAACATTCTCATCCAGGAGCCCATGCGCGATAAAGACACGATTCAGGTCATCCGGGAAGTTGGAGACGAATGCCTTGATGGCACTCTGTGTGTATGCCGCGCTTATAGCTTGGTCCGTGCCAGCTGCCGCGGCCATGTTGCTGTGCAGCTCGCCCATGTAACGTTCTGTGTAGCCCGTGTCGTACAACGTCCAATCACCAACAGGGGCGCCTGCGAAGCCAATTTTGAACACATCTGCCGCCTGCGACATCGCCAGCAGCGTCGCGTATCCACCGTAGGACCAGCCAAAGATGGCAATGCGTGCAGGATCGGCGATGAAGTCGCCTGGAAGCTGCGACGATGTCGTCATGTGCTTTACGAAGTCAACGTAGTCTGACGTTTCAAACCTCCCCATGTTATGCTTGCAGATGCTCAGGTCACGCAGGCCGTTGGCGTTGCTCATCTGCCCATCCACAACCAATACAGATATGCCATTCATCGCCAGAAGCTGTATGAGGGGGCTGCAGACAATCTGGTAGTCACTGTCGTACACCAGCTGCACGTGCGGACCGCCGTAGACGTACACTGCCAAGGGGCTTGGCTTCCCTGCAACAGCGGATGGCGATGCAAACAGTCGACCGCCGAGTGGCACGCCACGGCGGCTCATGACGGTGACGACAGACGGTACAATAAGCGTATCGCGTGTGAACTGCGTCGTCCCTCCCATCTCGGATGTGCCATTCAGCGACTTGGAGTGCACGCAGCAGCGTGTTTTGGGATCCCTCAGTGATGTGACATATAACATCGGTGGCGTTGACGCTGTGCTCGAGACATAGCAGAGCGTTCCATTCGTGACGGTGCAACTATACACGTGCTCATTCGCAGGTGAGAGCCGTGTCAGCTGCGCCGCAGCTGCACCGCCTGTGGTGGCAGCTAGAAACGACACACTGTATAGCGTATTCCCCAGTCTGTTGTCTGCATTCGCACAGAAGACGACACTGTCGTCCAGCACATGTACGCTTCCAGGCCTCACGTTCCATTCTCCTTGCGTCAGTGGCCGCCAGTCCTTGCTGCTACAGCCACCCTCTCGCACGTAGAGATGACAGTGCGCTGTTTTTGTCTCGCTGGCGTAGCGCAGCATGACGTCGTGTTTTTGGCCAAACACAATGGGTGGGCCAGGGTGCACCTCTACCCACGCCCACGTGATGATCTGTTCCCACTCAGTAGTGAAAGGAACCGCTGCCTGAACAACTGCTTTGTGGCCGGTATCGTGGCCAGTGGCACGGAGGGATGATGCAAGAGTCGCCTCGTCTACCTCCGGAAGTGTATCGATGCGGCACGACAGCACGCAGTATCGTTCCTGGGTGCGGCTCAGCAGAGAAAAATAAATCGTCTCTTTGTCTTTAAAGCCGAAGCGTGGAAGATACTCTACCCACGGTGCTGCTGCTGTTATGGCCTGATGCGGCACCATGCGGTAGCGCCCACTGCTGCGCTCATACACAACAAGCAGCGTGCGGGCGTTGGCGTCACCGACGCGGGGGTACCGCATCTTCTCCACGCCGGAGCTCGTGCTGCCGTCGATGAGTACCACCTCCTGCAGCATCGACGTGTCAGTATAGGTGAAGAGCACATACCGCTCCGTCGCGGAGTGGCCAGTGAAGCGGTCGAACTCCTCCTGCATGATGTAATCGGCGGTGCCGCACTCGTGGAGTTCGTCGCCAAATGTCGTCACACTCTCCACGCGCACATCGAGCGGCGCGGCCTCCCGTGCATCACCCTGCTGCTCCACAATGGTTGCCACGTACAAGTTGCTTCCGCGCACAAATGTCACAATGCTCTCTCTGTTGGAAGCACTGTGTGCGGCAGCAGTGCCTTCATCCCACGAAGACAGGTGCTGGATACAAAGGAGCGGCTTGCTGCCCATCGACGGGAAGCACCGCTGCTTTACCTCCTCGCTGATGTAGTCAAAAACTCTCAGCGGCGGCGACGTGCTTGACGGGTGGTAAAGGAACAAGTTCATGCCACAGGTGAAAAAAATGGCACCATCGCTTGGACGGATGCGGTAGCTGCTGATGCCACTCACACGCGTGCGCTGCCGCTCGCGCAGCAACTCCTCCTCTTTGGACTCAGGGAGGAAATCCTTCTTCCCCTGCTGCCGCTCCTTCGCCGCGTCGTCGTGCGGAACAAAAGCACGCCTGGGAACCGCATTAGCTTCAGTGAGATTCAACACGAAGAGCTCTTGATTGGTGCCTTGCAGCCAATAAAGCTGGTCCCCGACGATCTGCAGATTCTGCGGCTTTCCCGTGACGCCCAAGTCCGCCTCACCTGCCCGCGTTAACGCGTCGATATATACTCTGAGCGGTTGCCCAGGCATTTCCTTGATTTATTTTCTTTTACTTGTTGTGCGTGATGGTTGTCTTCCTGTTGAATTCAGAGGGGCCATGCATGCTTGCTTTCAGATACACACACACACACACACACACACATATATATATATATATCTGTATATATACGTGCAACCACAGCTGAACATTTCTGCGCTCCACTGAGTGTGCGAGCACGTCGCATTGGAGGGGTGAACACACACAAGCAGCAATCATAACCGCAGCCGAAGCAGCAGCAACCACAACAAGGAGATGATTCCACGCGAACCTCGGCAACGAGCTGGAAAAAAAGGAAACAGGTTTCAAGAGGGTCAGAGGCATTAAGCAAAGAAAAAAAAANAAACAAAATGGAACGCAAAATATGAGCAGCCCGCTGAGAGAGAGAAAGAAAGAGCGAAGGATGAACTTCTTTGGACGAAGGGCAGGGGTTATGCAACACATGCATCCTATTCATTATTCCTTCCCCATCCCGTTTTCATCATCTTCCAGGGAGCTGCTGTTGCGGCTCGCAGTAAAACACACAGCGAGCGCACAGCGGATGGGTGCCTCACGCGAGGTAGACGTACGTGTCGCGGCCCTCCCGTGCAATGAACTCCCGCTCGATCAGCTGTGCTACACAGCGCTTCAGCATCGGCGCCGTAACGACGAACCGCGTCACCATGTTCTGCGCCACTGTGGCGAGCAGCTCCGCGTGCGAGAGGCAGCGGCGCGATTTCATGACGCGCACGATGCCCGCCTCGAGCTTTTTCATCCGCTCCGCATCAACGATGTCACTCACCACTGCCCGGTCGCCGGCAGCCTCTTGCGCGTGCGGCACCCAGTGGTGCGTCGCGTCCGGTGCAGCCGCCACCACGACGCGCCGCCGCCTGCACGTGGCAAAGGATGGCGGCAGGCTGTACGTCGCACACATGCCAGCACCGGCAGCGGGTGGCGGTGAGCGGCGAACGACGCGGTGACGCACAAGGCTGCTCAGCACGGAGCCCAGCAGCGGCTTCGGCACCGCCACAGGTAGGCAGCCATGCAGGAAATCGAAGCTGCAGCAATCCCGTTCGCCGTGGCGCTGCAACGCCTGCAAAAGTAACAGACCAACAGGCGGCAGCAACACCTGTACACTTGTGGTGGCTGTGCACTCCTCCGGCGAAGCGGCGTGGCAGACGACGGTGAGTGCGCCGCTGCCAAGCGACCATGTGAGTTGCCGCCGCTGCACCGCCTGCACGACCGCTGCGGGTGGTGCCACAGAATCGGCATCACCCGAGGTGTGTGGCAAACCGCGCACAGCGTCCACCTCGCCGTCATTCACGTTGGGGATGCTGATGTCATTTCCGTTGCCACTATTGTTGCCGCCATCATCGTAGTTACCGAGGCGACCACTATGGGCGAAGAAAACACCGCTACGGTCGCTGGGGGAGGGAACTTCACGCCCGCTGCCGCTGCTTGGACTGCTGTGTCTGCTCTTCCGTGAGCCGCCGTAGCGGTCCTCGAAGGCGTGTAGGGCTTGGAGCATCGCCGTGTCGAACCACCGTTCGCGCTCGAAGGAGTGCTGCATCTCCGAGAGCGTCACCGTCACGGTGACGTACCGCTTCCACCGCGCACTGCACAACACCCGCACCTGACGGATGATACCGAACTGCTGCGCCTCATCCGTCCCCACCATGGTACAGCGCGGGTCCGCCATACTCGTACGCACGTCGCGCAGCAGCGCCAGCGGCTCCGCCGCGAGAGACTCCCCCAGGCGTACCGCAAGTCGAGATATCACCTCCGTGTCCACATCCAACTCGCCTACCCGCTGCATCGCCATGAGCCGCGGTGCCAACAGCCCGCAGTAGCAATCGACGAAGAGGTCCTTCGAGTGGAGGAGGGACACGAGCTCCAGGATCGTATCCAGGATCTCAAGGTGGGAACTACCACCACTACTACAACCGATATTGCTGTCGCCGCCCTGGTTGCTGCTAGCAGCAGCAGCAGCAGCAGGCTCCCCAACAACCTGCGTGTGGAGCGCACTCGCGAGTGTGAGAATCACACAAGGCTCGCGCCCAACAAAGAAAGATTGCATACCCTTTCGCACCGCACGCAGTGCTGCGTAAGCGCTGTCACAGCCAGCCGCGACAATAGGTCCTAGGAGGTGGTTTGTCATTTTGATAAAGAACACACAGCGCTGGTACACGTCACGTGGGAGGGAGCGCAGTGCCACCTCGCCGTTGTGCGCCACCGCGAGGAGACTCTCTAGGTGCCGCTGCACCGCTGCTGCAAAGTGCGCCTCGAACTCGGCGAGCAGCTTTGCCTCGGGGCTAAGGAAGAAGATGAGCGTCGCGAGCCCAGGCCGTGGCAACACCCCATAGTTGCTGCTGCTGTTATAATTGTTGCTGAGGCTGTCGCCACCGCCACCACTGCCCCCTATCTCCCCCAACTGTGAGAGTGCCTCGTCGAAGGAACGAAATACAACAGAGCTGCGGGCACCATCATCGTCATCACAGTTGCTGTTGTTATTGTCGGAGCCGGTGCCTGGGGTGCGCGGCAGACCCGCCTGTATGGTGGCGCAAAAGAGACGTTCATGCTCCTCATCACAGGCACGCTGCCAGAGTGGCAGGGCCCACGCATCCACGAAGTTCAACAGGACACTGCCGTGACAGAAGCCCACGGTGAAGGCGCGTGCCGCCAACGCGGCGCGCTCGCGGCCGAGCTCCGACACCTCGTCGATGTAGTGCGACGTGCCGCCGAAGTACAACAGTGTCGCAGAGCGCAGCCGCCGGAGTGTGTGCATGCAGTCCTGCAGCGCCGCTGAGGCGTCGTGCAGAGTGGGTACGCGCTCAGTGGTGCGCGACTCGCTAAGTGGCGCCAGCCGCGCGCACGCCAGTGTGAAGCCCTGCTGCTGCACGAGCCGCTCGACGCTTTCGGTGACGCCGCGGGTGATGTCCTGCGCGCGGCAGTCATCCAGCATCGCCAGCACACGTGAGACGAGGCACACGTCGCTGTCCTGCAGCGCCCCTGACACGACTGCCCCAGGGGGCCCCAGCGGATTGGCACCGCCGTCTATGGAGCTCCTCACGCAGCGCTCTGCGGCGCGGCACAGCACACTCTGTATCGTCGCACTGTTGTAGGCCAACGTCGCACACACGCAACTCCGCAGAATACGCCATGCAATGTCATTCATCTCAACATCCACACGCAGAAAGACAACCTTCAGAAGCCAGCGCATACGATGATAATGCATGGCAAAACTAACAACGGCATGCAGAGCCGCGGTATCTTCTTTCTCCACCTCGTTTTCTATTGCAAGGGGAACACCGTTATTCTCATCATTATGCGATGTCGCTGGCATGGGCGCGGAAGATGCAGCAACAGTGCGCCTCGCTGCCACAGCCACGTCCCGCGTCGACTTCCTCCACGGCTCGCAGTTGGCCTGCAGTGCCTCCTCCCACACGTTGTCCATGACAGCGGATGTCCACGAGAGACACGGCGGCGCCAGCTCCTCTGTCGCAATGTCGGGGCATACGCGCAGCCGGCCACCACTGCACGCACAAAGCTGCTCCACCCACGCATGAATGGAGGAGGCGAGGAGGTGCTGCAGCACCACAGCGTTCGACCAGTACTCCACCTTACTGTAGGTGGATAACATAGAATACACGCGCGCGTACAGCACTGATATGCTGAGAGCCTCTGCAGCCTCGGCGGATATTTTTCCTGTTTCCTCTTCCAGTTGTGGTTCCACAGGTGCCTCGGCTCCCCGTGTCTCCTCCCCCTTATCTCGCTCTGCTGGTGCCCCTGCTATTGTTGCGTCTCCGCCACTTTTGCTGCTACTGCTTGGAAGAGCAAACGGGTGCAGTGCATGGGAGATCTTGGAGAACCGGATAATGCTGTCGTTGATGGCGCTCCACTGGCACATCCAGTGACGCAGCTCCTTTACCTCCCATACCATTCGCACTTCCACCCCCCCCCACACAAACACAGAGAGAGAGAGAGAGAGAGAGAGAGAGAGAAAAGGGCACATTAACACCAGACGACACTGCAGAAAGAAGAATAACACAAATCCACAGCCGCAGGTGTCATGCAGCTGCCACGCATTGCCGCCCTCACTGAGCGCAGAGAAATAATCACCCCAAAACGGTGAACGAGCAGATACACAGAAGCAATACACCACGGACAGAGTCACGCAACAAAAAGACATCCGAAACACCTCCAAAAGAAAAACGTGCCGGCCACAGAGAATCGTGTGAATCCATGCGGTTGCGGTGCCACACGCCCAGGTGGCAACTTTATCTTGGCGTATTCCACGCCATCGCACCGACCACCTCCCTTCGAGTTTATCCTTGTGCGACACAAGACGGTGCGGCACCGCAGGGACGCGAGCCGCGGCAGCTCCCACTCCGACACGCCATGCAGCGCAAGAAATGCCCACCAACATTATTCACCACGGTCTCCCTCAACAAATACCGCTGCCGCTGCGCAGGCACCGCTTACATTAGCCCAGCATTCTTGACTGCCATGCAACTGGAGACGCACAGAAACAACTGGTTATCACACTGACGTTACCCCCTTCTGTGCAGAGTGTTTGCCCACAAAGCGAACACGGGTGTGCTTCGCCAACGCCAATTGCCGCACCACCGACCCTCGCATGTATATATTTCGTCTTCTCGTCCTACAAAGACCACTGGAAAGTGGGACGTGAAAAAGGCAAAAAAAAAGTCACAACAGGAAGCATACAGAATAAAGAAAAACAGCCACAAGAATCACAACAAAGAGGAGCCACTACAGCCGATCAACGCCTCCCAGACGCCATATTTCCTTGCTGTGCGCTTGCGTGCAATGCATGTATGCATTGTCCAACAAATGAACATCGTGCTGCACGGGTGGTGGCGGCGGCGGCTTCAGAGGCGAACTCACAGGTTGATGCCGCTAGCCGCCGACGACTCCCCATGGCCGCAGTGCGTCTTGGTGAAATTACCAAAGCGGCCGTAATACAGGAGCCCGTACGCCGTCCCGTCGTACGTCCTGCCCTTCCACTGATGCACCCGCTTCACCTCCTCCGGCACGCCGTAGCCGTACTCGTCACTCGAGCGTTTATACATCGGGTTGAAGGCGCGAGCCGTGGGGAGGAATCGCACCGCCGGTAGCTTCGTCGCCGCATCGTGCTCGACAATGAGCTCGCGCAAGAACGCCGGCAGCGTGTCGGGGTCAACGCGCGCGGACACGATGCCCGGCACCACCGCGTACCGTCCCTCCTCATAGGCCCACGCAAAGTCGAGCCAGCGCTTCATCGAGATCTGCGCTGGCACCTCCACCACCCGCATGCCGGCCAGCTCCGCCGGGTACGCGAAGAAGCCGCGCAGCTGCGGCGGCAGGTCGCCGCGCGAAAAGATCGGCTGCACGACGTCCCGTACAACACGCAGCGAGTACGCACCGGCGGCCTCGCCCTGCTCCGGCCAGACGAGNGACATGGCCTGCGTGGCGTAGATGCCCGTCGGCATCCCTGCCGTCGCGGTGACGGGGCGGATAAGCGTCGGTTGCAGCAAATCACCCATGCGCCACACGCCCTCGATTGTGGCCGTCAGGAACTCCTCCACGTCGCCGACCTGCTCGTTCTCCGCCTCCAGAGCCATGCGCTCGTGGAAGCGCATGAAGACGTCGAGGATGACGCCGCCGTTCTCCCTGGCGCTCTTGCCGAACTGGTGCACCAACATGTCTCGGGCGGCGGAGGGCGCCATGGAGCCTTCTCGCACGCGCGGGTGCTTTGAGGCGTCAAAGACGCGGCAGATGTCGTCAAGCTGCACCAACCCGTCGCCCTTGAAGTCCATCGTACGGAAGGCATGCTCCACGAGACTTGCGTGGTACGGCGTCAACATGGTCTCGGTGCTCATTCCCTCAGTTTCTCTTTCCTCCTCCTCCACAATTCCTTCGCTGAAGAGTTGACGTCTCCAGACGAGCTACCTTCTATTCTTTATATATATATATATATATATATGTATGCATGGGTGTAATGCAGCAAAAGGGAACGAATTGTAGAGAAAGAAACCGAGAACAGCATGGCCACGTACACACCATTCTGTGCCTCTCTCACGACCATCAGCGAAGAAAACATATACCAAGAATGTGCGCATTCGGGAGATTTTTTTTCGTTTAGGTTTGGCATCTGCTGGGAGAAGCAGCTGTGCCGTACACAGGTGTCTGCAGCATATGCGTGACGGAGTGCAGCATGGTGGAGGCGAAAGAGGCGGACACACTAGTACAACAAAACAAAAAGCTTTAATATATATATATATAT